AGACAATGCCCACCACGTGGCAGATTTTGCGACCCATCTGAAGAAGTACAAAATCCAGAACCTCGCCCGTGCTGTGGGGTACGATCAATCCCTTTTCTTCTTTACTATGTTCCAATGTCTTCTTCTGGATCCGGCTATCTGTTGCATATCTGTAGACGTATTGAAGAGTGAGCAGTTTGCCAAAGCAGTTCAACGGATAAAGCGCAGCACTGCCGATGGCTACGGCCACGTCGGACTCCCTGCTGCAATTTGCGTGAAGGCGGCTCTGGAATGCACGTAGGCGGTCCGTATCATGATTATCGTCAATATCATTATCATGACCGTCGTCGTCATCATTATCATCATATGTAGAGGGGGCGAGGGGGTTAGGCGCCAACGAGCGCCCCGACCACGATTTCGTAGTGGCTCTAGGAGACGTTGCCCTATTCAGGGGGGGCTGGAAGCCACGGTCGTCGTCGTCGTCGTCGTCGTCGTCGTCGTGGTGGTGGTCGTCGTCGTCGAGGGCCGAGGGTTCCGAGGGCTCCCACATCGGCTGAAGGGCGTCGTTTTTCCCACTTCCGTTCCTGAGAAGACGAAGTTACAGACATTCCAGGAACAACAGTGGGAATTCTCGGTCTGGTCTGGTCTGGTCTGGCCCTCATATTTCCCAGTTTGTTCCTGAGCAGACGGAGCCGAGGACTCCGCAGGAACAAATCTGGGAATTCGCGGCGTTGCTTTCCTATGTGTCCTGGCGGCGCAATTCTTCTGATTTTTGGGCGGCCTCCTCAGGGCTGTGGAAGACTGCTTCATATGTATATTTCGCGTCTGCGTTTCGAGCGTCTGGCCTGCTCTAGAACCTGAGCGCTCGCGAAGCGCGTGCGTGGCTCTCTCTCACTCTCTCCCTGTATCTCTCTCTCTCTCGCCCTCCTGCTCTCTCTCTCTCTCTCTCTCTCTCTCTCTCTATACGTATTCGTTTGTACATACCCACTCCCCCACCATATGTATACATATCGCACTCGTCATTACGAGGTCATATTCGTCCGCCATCGGTGTGGTGGCACGCGTTTGGCGCGCCCATTTGCGATTGGAGCGCATCTAGCGTCTCCATCGTGCTTGCGTTTGCACGCTCGGCGCGCGTTTAGCGCGGCCGGCGGTTGGGGCGCACCTGGCGCGTTGACAGCTCCGCCGTCCAGGACGTGGCTCGCTCCCCGATCGGTAGAAGCTGACGACGACCACGACGACGACGACGACGCCGACGACGACGACGACGACGGCGGCGGCGGCGGCGGCGGCTGCGACAGCGGCGACGGCGACGGCGGCGACGGGGACGGGGACGGCGACGGCGACAGCGACGACGGCGACGGCGACGACGGCGACGGCGACGACGGCGGCGGCGGCTGCGACAGCTGCGGCGGCGACGAAGACGACAGGGGCCGGCCCGCGTCGCGCGGGCGCCCGCGGCGAGGCGTGGTACCTGGGACGGCGCGGGAAGAGGGAGGAGGAGGGAGGAGGAGGAGGAGGAGGAGGAGGAGGAGGAGGAGGAGGAGGAGGAGGATCTTGATAATGATGATGATGTTGATGATGCTGATGATGCTGATGATGCTGATGATGATGATGATGATGATGATGATGATGATGATGATGTTGTCTGGTCTGCTCTGGTCTGCTCTGGTCTGGTTCGTCGGCTTTCTGAGGGCCGACCGAACGGTATGTGGAGCCGTCGTGGGCCGACTTGGGAAGCGTCTTGGGCCATGTTGGGGTCCCCCCCGGGGGTTCCGAGGGCTCCCACATCGGCTGAAGGGCGTCGTTTTTCCCGCTTCCGTTCCTGAGAAAACGAAGTTACAGACATTCCAGGAACAACAGTGGGAATTCTCAGTCTGGTCTGGTCTGGCCTGGCCTGGTCTTTTTCTATATTGCGTTGCCGTTTTGGCCCAAGGAAGCCTTGCTGATCGGCACGGCGCGGTGGCAACATGGCTCGTTTCGGGTCCTTTTTCGGGTGCCTGCCATACCAGGCCCCGCTTGGATGCATCAAGCCCTCAACCAAATCATCAAGGGGAACTGGGACACACAAATAAATACACACAAATAAAAATATCCCCCACATTTTCCCATATTTTCTGGGTTTTGTCCTCCCTCCCACCTCTTATATTTTCCCATATTTTCTGGGAATCGCCGATTAATGGTGTCTGTGTGTTTCTTTCCCTCCTGAAACCAGGCCCCAGCGTCCGAGTTCTTCTCCTGCGGCAGCCGAGATCTGGAGCCGGCGGGGGCTGCAGCACCACGGCCAGATCGGATCCCACTGGGCATGGTTCGGGCTGTTGATGAAGGGCCCGAGGGCAGCTCCCCCGTGCTCGCTTGGGGCAGTCGCGTGGATGGGGTCGAGGTGTCTGCGAGCGTCGATTTCGGGAACGCCCAGGAGGAGGAGATCCAGTCGTTCCTCTCTCAGGTCATGAATGAAACAAAAAGGCAGTTACACAGAGCTTGTCCTGCATCGTTGCCCAGCGACGGCCGTGGCATCGCCGGCCCATTCTGCCCCAAACTTCGATGGTTGCGTGGCTCAGTCTCCCGTCTTTGTCGCCACGTAGACGCGCGTCATTGCGCAAAACAACCTGCGGCTAAGAGAATCGCTGGAGGTCTGCGTTTGGGCGCCGCCAATGTCACGGCCGCAGGAACCAAGCAGTTGAGGGTTATGGCCACGTTGTTTGACCACGATCGCATGGTGCGCAGGGTACGGCGCGATTATCTGGCTCGGAGTGCAGCGGTACTCGGCGCAGTATGTGGCGACGTGCAAGCATTCAAAGATCGCCACGCTGTCCTCCTCCTCGACGCCAGTGTGGTCTCGTTCGTCCGAGCAACGGTGGTCAGTTCCAACCCTGCGCAATGCCTTCGCATCGGCTAAACGTGCGTCACCAAAGCATTCTGCGAGATGTACTACGCCGAATTCCTCTTGTGCGGTTTCGCGATCCAGGAAACCCGCGCTCGGATTGTTCTACATTATCTACGAATGAAGTGCGACCTGGCCGAGCGCATTCCTTACGCGCAAGAGATGTTCTGGATAACCTTGGTAGAGAAGATATTATATTCGAAAGGGATGATTCGCCGGCGCGCGTCAGCGCTCGAGGAATGCAGGGGGCGCGGCGAATTCCAACACTTGTCCCTGGACGGCCTCTTTCGCCCATGCCGCAGCATCGCCGGACAGGAGGATTACCGGGGGACGGTCGCCGTCCGAGAAGCTGCGGCAATTCCTGACGCGGAGGCGGTGCGTCGCATCGTCACTGTCCGCGGGCGGACCAGGGCCGCGGTCTGCTGCGCGGGGACTAAGAGCGAGAGCGGAGAGGACATCGCCCTAGAGCTCGCCCAGCACGTGCCCGCCGACTGTCTGGCCCAGGTTCGCACCGTGGCAACTGATTCGCCTGGCCCAGAGTTGCTGACGCAGCTCCAAGCTGTGATGCCGAACTTGGAGTTTCTCGTTCTCGACCTCGTCCACATAGCGTTCTTGTTCAAGTCTGCGCAGGGCAGGGCCGAGACCTCGGCAGGGCAGACGTTGCGGACGATACAGGCTAAGTGAAACAAGGTGGACGTCCGCGTGCAGGCCCCCCAGCCGAGCGGGGCCGTGCGAATGTTTAAGCGAGCCCTGGTTGCGCGAGATTGGATCGCCAAGTGCGCCATGGCGCCCGACGCGGCGGCCAACCGCCTGCAGGATCTGGATGGGAGTCCCCCGTATTACTCGGTGGAGGATTACATAGAGGATCTCGCCGCGCTCTGCGCCGCTTCCCCAGTGGAGGTCCGCAGGAAGCCGTCGGTGAAGGTCGGGCCTGTGCACGTGGCTCTCTGGCGAGCCACCAGCCCCCGGCGCTTGAGTTACGTCCTCAATAACCAGCGTCGCCCCCTACTTTTGCCAGGGGAGCAGCGAGCGTAGCTGTCTTCGGGAACCGCTGCGGTGGAGGCCCTGAACGCAGAGATAAATAACCGATTCCGCTTCCACGGACTGTTCTATCAGTCCACGCTCCTCATGGCGATCAAGGCGTTCGGCGACCTGAAGTTGCCCACCCACAACTCTGCAGAAAATTGCAAGACGCTGTCGCAGACAGGGCAGCGCACCGTCGCCCTGCATGCGCTGTCGGACTTCCGTTTGCTCGACGATGAGTGGGCTGCCGTGCGAGCTGCAGATGCGCCTCTGGTCGCGCGGCGCCTGGAGCACAAGGGGCGCGTTCGCGCGGCCGGGGCCAAGAGCAAGGTCGGGGCTGCAGCGAGCAGCAGCCGAGGAGTTGCTCTCCCAGGGGTTCGTAAGCGTTTCCCCTCCAAGCGCCCCCCGCAGGAGAAGCCGCAGGACACGAAGCGCCACACCTTCAACAAAAAGCGAAGAGCTGCCCCCCGCTGAGGCTCAGTGAGGCGCTCCTGAAGATGACTGTCCTCTGAGATACGCTAGCCATGCGCCCGCGCGGTAAGATGAGAGATCGATCTGCGCGCCTCCTCTGGAAGCGGAAGCTGAGACAGCTCACACCCTAGATCGCCATTAGTCATCACCGTCGCCACTGTCGCCCGCCTGTTGTTGCCTTCAGAGTCGGAGGGCCCCGCGTCGGCTGAAGAGCGCCGTTTTTCCTACTTCCGTTCCTGAGAAGACGTAACCACAGACATTCCAGGGACAACAATGGGAATTCTCGGTCTGGTCTGGTCCGGTGTGGGCTGGTCTGGCCCCGAAGGGGAAGTTGCCTTCAGAGTCGGAGGGCCTTGGTGCGAAACAGGCCTGCCAGTGTCAGCCGTTGCCATTAGAGACCCTCTGCCCCTCATTATCCGGCTCCTCGGTGTCCTGGTCCTGCTCGCCCCTTCCGACCTGCCTGGCGCTCGGATGCACGCAGCTGCTTTGGTTCGACTTAGCCGCAGCGCAGCGCGCTCCCCCCCAGCGCGATCTACACTTCTGGGCGGCCTGAGTCTGGCGGGCGAGGCCGAGGAGGAGTCGCTCGATCTCACAGGAAGCTTGGGTGCCCTCCTGGAGATGGGGGGTGCCGCAGCGCCCGCAGGAGACCCCGCGTCGCAAGGTGCGGCGCTGCGCCGATTTCATGCTGCACCGCGGCCCAAGGCTGTCGGCCCCCCCATCGGAGGTGTTCGAGGGGCGCAAGCGCTTCCCGGGGGCCTGGGAGTCCAAGGCGGTATCCGAGAAGTCCGAAGTGGAGCTGGCCCAGGCCATGTTGGATGTCGCCCGCCACGCCAAGCGGTTCCAGCGCGCCTCGGGAGGGCATCCGTTTCGAAAGCCGCCGCGTCGAGAAGGGGGATCCTGGCGAAGTGCGACGACTGGCCCGAGGAGTACCCGAGGCTTGCAACTGCCGCCCTCGCCGTGTACAATCGTCGGTTCGGCGACTTTGCCACGAGCGAGTTTGTGACCTTGATGTGGCTGGCTCTCGGCCGCGCTCGCGTCATCAGCGCCGACGGCCGCGCGCGCTTCTTCGACCCGAACAGTGGCGGGTGGAGAGCCTACACTGGCCTGTTCCCCGAGGGTATGCATGCCCACTTCCGCCTCTTCATGAACCGACTGGGGCGTCGGCAAGGTGTGGAGCGAGGTGCCGACAGCATACTGGAGAAGATGGACGCCATTATCCAGTCGTCCGACGGCGATAGCATCGAGCAGAAAACCAAGAATGCCTTCCAGATGTTCGAGCACTTTTCCCTGTGGAACAAGGGGTCGGGCGATCGGGAAGAAGCCGTGGCCGACGTGGACGAGCCAGGCGCCCCCCCAAGCAGCCTGCTCCAGCTGAGGGCGAGGGGGGCGACGGGCGCCCTCCCCGCGATGAGGGCGAGGGGCCTGGGACGAAACAGCTGGAAATGCCATGGCATATTGACGTCGCTGCGTGCATTCGATCCTTCGGCAAGAAGCTCGTGTCCGAGCTTATGCAGGGGGGCTCCGTGGTCAAGAACTTCACGGAGTGGTGCGGCACGTCGGTCGCCCCCGCGCGCGGGGTGTGCTACCCCGACCGCGCTGTCAAGTACGATGTCCCAATGATGACGCCCGACGGCGTGGTCGTGCAGCCGCTGGTCGTGGTAGACGGGGTGCCCACGTCGAAGGACTTATTCTTTTCCTGCATGGATTCCTCGCTGGTCCCGGCCATGCGCGAGGATGAGGGCGCGGAGGACGAGGGCCCAGAGCGGCCCCTTGACGACCCAGTCTTGAAGGCCGCGGCGGACGACGTGAACAAGTTCCTGTCCAGCACTTTCTGGTACAACTTCGAGGCCCTCAGCGCTACGCGGCCTCAACGTGCACCAGTGCTGCGACTTCCTCGGTGCGGGCGGCTGCGGCCTCTCCCTCTTCGCCGACCTGATCGCGGCGTCGATGGGCGACGAGCTTCACAAGTTTCGGCCCGTTCGTGTTTTGCGACGACGAAGAGCTCCGGAAGTGCGCGGAGCTCCTCGCAAGAGGTTGCGTGTTTTCAAGCCAGGAACGGCCCCGAGGATCCAAGAACAAGTTGCTCCTGAACTTGTGGAAGAAGTTCCTCAGCGGCGAGGGTCTGAGGAGGCGTCCCCCCTATGCCGTGCTGACCCGCATGATCAGGTTGCTGGGGTGGGTCAAGCGCGAAGTTAATTCCACGCTCGCTTTCAGCGACTTCACCGAGCAGGAGTTCGAGTCCATCATGCGGAGGTCCTGCGTGATAGAAATCGCCGCCCGCCTGTTCGACAAGCAGTACCTGGGCGCGCGCTTCCCTGACCGCGAGGAGTGTGGCATATTCGCCCGAGATCCGTCCTTCGCGCGCAAGTTCCAGACGAGTCAATGCGCGGCGGCCTGGAATCGCACGCAGCACGTCTTCGAGGCGAGCAACGAGGGGCAGCAGTGCTAGGACTTCATCGTGCAGTACTCGCGCGGCGGCAAAGACCACGGCGTCGCCGAGCGCAACATGCGCCGCGCGTGCAGCCTCCAAGCCCACTCCGTGACGGACGGCAGGTCTCTATTGGCAGGCGTGATGGTGGATGCAGACGCCAGCGAGTTCTTGCTGCAGGCGCCCCCGTCGGCGACCGCCGAGGAACGCGAGTCCGCGGTAGCGCTTCTCCGCGAGACTTGCGACAGAGGACTGGAAGCCATGACTCTCCCGTACTTCGATCAGCGAGCTCGGCGGCTGGAGGGGTCGACCAAGAATCGGCGGCAACTCTGGGGCGACCTCCCCCGTTCAGGCTCATGGGAACTCCAAACGACCAAGGCGCAGCGCCGTGGCGGCACTTCCGTCGCCCCTCTCCCCTTTCAAGTGCACGGTGGATGACCTCTTCGGCGCGGCGGCGACGGTCCAGAAACCAGGGGCGCTTCCCGAGGCCATCGACGTCGCGAACGTGAAGAAGAAGAAGCTCGTTGACAACGTGGCCTTCATGCAGAATGCGGAGCTCGCGATCGAGGCCCTGCAAGGGTTGCTGGCCGCCCCAGCGCCTACCCACCCCATGAAAGAGGGCGAAGCGCCCTGCCGCTGCGGAGGAGCCGCAGAGGGAAGGGGGGGGGGCGCAGAGGGAAGGGGCCGCTGGTCTAATGCCCATAAGGAAGAGGAGCCGGCGATCAGGAATCGCATCGAGAAGTTCGACACGGTGCGGCGCTTCGCGGCCGCCGTGGCGTCCCTCCCAAGCAGGGCGCTCGGGCGCGTGTTGAGCGGCGCTGCTGAGCCAGGTGCTGAAGTGCGGCGATCGGTTATGGCCAAGGAGGCCGCCACTCGTGTCCACGCAGTGCGGGTGCAGTATCAGATGAGCAGGCCGTGGGTGTCCCGCGAGCGCGCGACAGCGGGCGACGTCCCCGCCGCCCAGAGCACGCCGCAGCATTTGCAGATGATGGCCTTCCCCCAGACCGTCGACCTGGACCAGGTCGCGGCGTGCCTGGCCTTCAGCGAGCAGTTGCTCGAGCTCTTGCGGCTCGCGGAGGACGTGAAGGCGGCCTTCGTCCCGGAGCTCGCCCCGATGAAGGAACTCCGCGAGGACCGCGACGGAGTGTACCTGAGAGAACTCGGGCTCCCAGGGGCACTCGGCAAAGACCTTATCCTCATGGCGTTGTACGGAAAGAAGGAGCTCCCATACGCGACTCTCCTGGACCCCGACTGCGAGGGCTTCTTGAATCAGCTGAAGCGGCTGTCGTGGTTCCTGCGATGGGCCGCCGCGTCGGCCATGCCTGAACAGTATGCCGCGCTGAAGGGCGACTCCTCCGTGACGTGGGTTGAGGGCAGTTGCTTCGCGCACTTTTGGCAGATGGCCGAGTCCTACGTGACGATGCACCTCTGCGACTTCGCGCGCCAGCGGCCCGTGAAGCACCTCACGAAGGCATGCGACGGCGTGCGCATGGACGCAGACAGGGTCGCCGACGAGAAAGCGAGGCTCGCTGTGGAAGAGCAGGGCATGGAAACGCAGTCGGACACCGAAGTTGTTGCCCTCGCGGCCAGCCGCTATGTAGTGCAGCAGCCGCTGGCACTCGTGGTGCGCCTACGGGATAAAAAACATCTGCCCTTCTACAATTTGATTCACAACTGCGAGTACAGCGACGTCACCATCGCCCCAAGCTTGGTGCCCGCGCAAGACCTCTCGAGCGTGCTCATCACGGTGCCGACGGCCCTGGGCGATTATGGCTCGCAGCCGGCTCTCGCGCAGCAGCTCATGCAACTGGTCCGTGAGCACGCCGAGCGCGATCTTGCTGGGGTGACGTATCTCGAGGCGAAGTCCGTCCATCCTCACCATAAAGGACTTGATCCCGACAGCCGCCCTCCCCGACGAGGGGGAGGGTACTTGGCTTATGCGCCTGCACGACGAAGGTAACGCTCCCCGTTGCGCTGTGGTCTTCTGTGACGACGAGCTGGCGACCGTCTCGGTGTACTTGGCGAGGAAGAAATTCACCTTCTGCTGCTGCAATCGGTCGACCGCCATTGGCAATTCCAGGACATGCTGCTGCAATCTGTCGACCGCCACTGGCAATTCTTCTTCCGGATGCAGGGGCAAGGGCCGCTGGGAAGCCCACAAGGCGTCTCGGCGCCCCTCGAGGCGCTCCTGAAGATGACGGTCTTCTGAGATGCGCGCGCCATATGGCCGCGCGGCAGGATAAGAGATCGATGTGCGCACCTCCTCTAGAGAGCGCAAGCCGAACAGTTCACGTCATCAATCATCACTGTCCCGCCAGACCCATCGTCCGCCTTCAGGCTCTGACCGTTCGTTAGCTTTCAGGGGCTCGCGCAGGAGTTTCGCGGAAATGTTCAAGGACACTTCGTGTGAGTCTGAGGGCGACGACGACGACGACGGCGGCGGCGACGACGACGACGGGCGACGGACGACGACGAGGGTTGTCTTTGCCACATCCGTTCCCGAGAAGACGAAGCCACAGACATTCCAGGAACAACAATGGGAATTCTCAATGTGCCGCATACGTTCTGCTATGCCAACTGTGCCACCTGTGTGACGACATACGTTCTGCCACATATGTGTCGACATACGTTTTGCCACGTGGAACCCGCGCACCCGCCACCTGTGGTCTGTGGTGTTCAGCGGGAGTCGCCGTCGCCATCTTCGGGGGTCCCGTTTGGCTGTCGGGGCTCCTCCCCGACGGACGACGACGACGGCGGCGGCGACGACGACGACGGGCGACGGACGACGACGAGGGTTGTCTTTCCCACATCCGTTCCTGAGAAGACGAAACCACAGACATTCCAGGAACAACAGTGGGAATTCGCGGTGTGCCGCATACGTTCTGCCATGCAAGTTGTGCCACCTATGTGTCGACAAACGTTCTGCCACATATGTGTCGACATACGTTTTGCCAGGTGGAACGCGCGCACCCGCCACCTGTGGACTGTGGTGTTCAGCGGGAGTCGCCGTCGCCATCTTCGGGGGTCCCGTTTGGCTCTCGGGGCTCCTCCCCGACGGACGACGACGACGGCGGCGGCGACGACGACGACGGGCGACGGACGACGACGAGTGTTGTCTTTCCCACATCCGTTCCTGAGAAGACGAAGCCACAGACATCCCAGGAACAACAGTGGGATTTCTCGGTGTGCCGCATACGTTCTGCCATGCCAGTTGTGCCACCTATGTGACGACATACGTTCTGCCACATATGTGTCGACATACGTTTTGCCACGTGGAATGCGCGCACCCGCCACCTGTGGTCTGTGGTGTTCAGCGGGAGTCGCCGTCGCCATCTTCGGGGGTCCCGTTTGGCTCCCGGGGCTCCTCCCCGACGGACGACGACGACGGCGGCGGCGACGACGACGACGGGTGACGGACGACGACGAGGGTTGTCTTTCCCACATCCGTTCCTGAGAAGACGAAGCCACAGACATTCCAGGAACAACAATGGAAATTCTCTGTGTGCAGCATACGTTCTGCCATGCCAGTTGTGCCACCTATGTGACGACATACGTTCTGCCACATATGTGTCGACATACGTTTTGCCACGTGGAACGCGCGCACCCGCCACCTGTGGACTGTGGTGTTCAGCGGGAGTCGCCGTCGCCATCTTCGGGGGTCCCGTTTGGCTCTCGGGGCTCCTCCCCGACGGACGACGACGGCGGCGGCGGCGACGACGACGACGGGCGACGGACGACGACGAGTGTTGTCTTTCCCACATCCGTTCCTGAGAAGACGAAGCCACAGACATTCCAGGAACAACAGTGGGAATTCGCGGTGTGCCGCATACGTTCTGCCATGCCAGTTGTGCCACCTATGTGTCGACATACGTTCTGCCATAGATGTGTCGACATACGTTTTGCCACGTGGAACGCGCGCACCCGCCACCTGTGGTCTGTGGTGTTCAGCGGGAGTCGCCGTCGCCATCTTCGGGGGTCCCGTTTGGCTCTCGAGGCTCCTCCCCGACGGACGACGACGACGGCGGCGGCGACGACGACGACGGGCGACGGACGACGACGAGGGTTGTCTTTCCAGCATCCGTTCCTGAGAAGACGAAGCCACAGACATTCCAGGAACAACAGTGGGAATTCTCGGTGTGCCCCATACGTTCTGCTATGCCAGTTGTGCCACCTGTGTGACGACATACGTTCTGCCACATATGTGTCGACATACGTTTTGCCACGTGGAACGCGCGCACCCGCCACCTGTGGTCTTTGGTGTTCAGCGGGAGTCGCCGTCGCCATCTTCGAGGGTCCCGTTTGGCTCTCGGGGCTCCTCCCCGACGGGCGTCGGATGGTTTTGGGCGTAGCGCCTGCTCGGACCGCAATCCACCCGCCTCGGGATGAGGGGGGGGAGGTCCGGTTTCAACCCCCCCCCCTCCAAGCGACCACAGAACGCGCTTTCTCATACGTACACAACGAGGCTATGACGCTCGGCGCAGTTACTAGACTGGCGAGAAAGGGTAGATCCGTCTACGGTGTGTTTCTGGTCTGAGAGCAGGTCCCGCTGACCGCGCCGGCGTTGCAACAGTGGGGAGGCACCGCTCCACAGTGGAGACGGCTCCTGCCTCCACGCCCTCCACTTCGCCCTCGCGGAGCACCATAGGGAATTCAGGCGGGTGTTCGGGCAGGCGGGGTGCAGCCATCGTGCGACCATGGGGAAGGCCAGTGGAGGAACAAAAAACGGCAAAAACATAAACTTTTGGAGGTCCGCGCGGATTTCTTCGATCGGCGCGGGGCCCCCCCTGGCGGCGCCTCCGACGCCGCCCCTGGCGCGTTCCGCGCGTCAGGGAGGGGGGGGGTCCAGCGCCGAGGCAAGAAATCCGCGCGGAGCTCCAACAAACTTATGTTCATGCAGGTTTTTCCCCTCCGAGCCAAAATACAAAACGAGCGCACTTCTCTGGCCACGGATAACCCCGGCCACGACTGGGTTCCCTGCCCGACCCAGGATGCACCAGGAACGGCCCGAGAGGAGCGCCCCTCCCGAGTCCCACGTGGTCCTCATTCCAGCGGGGGCTCTCTTCTGAGCCTGTTCGGCGCGAGCGCCCGCGCGGCCGCCGAGCGTCGGGACGCCCGAAACGGGTACGGAACAAATGGGTAGGATGCCCAACAACAGATGCTGCCCCAAACCAACAGCGGCCGCCGTTGGGCAGGCGGCCTGCTGTCTCAAGTGGGCACAGGCCGCGGCGGCGCGGGCAGCGAATCCGGCTCAAAATGCACAGGAACTGCTGTTGGGCATTGTGCCCATTCCTTCCGTACCCGTCGTTCACTTCTAATCGTGCTCATTTCTAAGTGTGCTCGTTGCTACTTGTTCCTGGCGCCCTGGTGGCCAGGAAGCGGCCCAGGAGAGAAGAATCATAAATGAAAGGATCTTGCACCACCCAAAAATCAAGAACTTCCGAATCAGAGGAAATTAACCTTGTGTGCCCAACTCGCTAGTGGCCAGGAAGCGGCCCAGGATAGAAGCATCAGACGTGCAAGGATCCTGCCCCCCCCCCCCAAACAAATCAAGCACTCCCGAAACTTAGGACCTGGACCATTGAAGGGGCCTAAGGAAACACACACACAAAGAAATACACACAAATAAAAGATATCCCCCATAGTCTCCCACATTTTCTGGGCTTTTGTCTTCCCCCCACTCCCCATAGTTTCCCCGTATTTTCGGGGGAATCGCCGATTAATCGTGCCTGTGTGTTTCTTTCCCTCCTGGGCCAACTCCGATTTTCCATGGAGAGCCTCAGGAAAACCCAAGGAACACTGCAAAACAACTAAGGAACACGGAGCCCCTCCCAAACGAAACGGGTTCCTTCTTCAGGGCCCCGACTGTAAGAGGAAATGGACCATGTGGCCCCCCTGGTGGCCAGGAAGCGGCCCAGGATAGAAGCATCAGACATGCAAGGATCCTGCCCCCCCCAAACAATCAAGCACTCCCGAAACTTAGGACCTGGACCATTGAAGGGGCCCAAGGACACACACACACATAAACACACACAAATAAAAGATATCCCCCATAGTTCCCAGCATTTTCTGGGCTTTTGCCTTCCCCCCCGCTTCCCATAGTTTCCCAGTATTTTCTGGGGCATCGCCGATTAATTGTGTCTGTGTGTTTCTTTCCCTCCTGGACCATGTGTGCCCAGGGAACCGTCGCAGGAAGGTGAACGTCGCAGGCTGCCGAGGAGGGAACTCCGCGCCAGCTTGGGGAGAAAGGACGGAGGCGGCGAGCGGGCGAGAGAGGAAGAGCTGGCGGCCAGTCCCTCGGAGCCGCGGAAACCACCATCGACTGCAAGGCCCCACCCGACAGGACTGGAAAGGAAGAGGGGGTGAGGAGGAGGGGGAGGACGAAACGGGCTCCTTCTTCAGGGCCCCGACTGTGAGAGGACATGGGCCACGTGTGCCCCGCTCGCTCGTGCCGCCGAGCGGGCTCGGGATCGCCGACCCGAGCGGGCTCGGCCGCCGCGGGCCCTGCCGCAGCCGAGGCCCCGCCTCGGCGCCTCGCTCGGCACCCGCGGGGCGGCCCGCGCGGGGGGGGCCCCGCGCGCCGACCCGGGCGGCCGGGAGGGGACCCCCCCGGGTAAAACGACGCGAAGATCGGGACAAAATCGGATCGGGAGAACTCGAAATCTCTGAGGATCGGCGGGTTTGGATGATGTATTGGGCGCCGCGGCCGCTCCAGAGCGCTCCGGAACGCTCTGAGAGCGCTGCGGAACGCTCTGAGAGCGCTCCGGAACGCTCTGGAGCGATTTATCCCGATCCTAGCCCTGGTTTACCCGGGGGGGGGGGGCTGCGGGGTCCCGTCGGGGGCGGCCTGGGTGCGGCCAA